GAATCTGTAAGAATTTAGTCCAGCGTCCTTGATAAGCTTAATATCTTCCTAAAATTCAGATTAGAGTATATTAGCTTTTTTTTTTTTAAGAACAAACTGAATTTTTAAGGATGTTTTGACCTTTTGCTACTCGCCTTGTATCGTTTATATCCATCGACTGCCATAGGGAATTTTGTATTGTTTCAAATTTTTTCTGTAATTGAAATTTGTTAGCTGATCTATTGAACTTTTTAGTTTCAACTATTTGTATAATTCATCATAAGAAACCAAGTACAAGTGCAACAAATGTATAATTACAAGTTTCAAGGGAGACATAAGACCATGAATTAAGGAGAAAATTAAGGTACAAAGGAAAAGTGGCGGTACATCACTTCCATCACGTCAAGTACATCACTCACTTCCATCATGTCAAGTATATCACTCACTTCCATCACGTCCAGTACATCACTTCCAATACTCCCCCTCAAGCTGGATCAAGAGGGTTAATTGATCCAAGCTTGCACAACAACCATTGAAATTGGGTAGAGTCTAGAGCTTTCATGAAGAGATCAACAAGTTGATCATGGCTTCTAGTGTATATAGTGTTGATGACATTGGATTGAACTTGTGTACGAATGTAATGACAATCAACTTCAATGTGCTTCGTCCTTTCATGAAATACCGGATTAGAAGCAATATGCATTGCAGCCTGGTTGTCACAAAACAACGACATTGGTTCCTTGCTGGTGAAGCCAAGATCAAATAGAAGACTCTTCAACCATATAAGTTCATAAGCTGCTGCTACCATGGCCGTATATTCAACTTCAGCACTGGATCTTGCAACCACAGTTTGTTTCTTACTCTTCTAGGTGACCAGATTACCTCCAACAAAAGTACAAAAACCTGTGGTGGACTTTCGATCAAGGGCATTACCAGCCCAATCATCATCAATGTAGGGCATGATGTGAGTGGACCCATTTTTCTTCATGAGTATGCCTTTACCCATTGAACCCTTGATATCTAAGTATTCTCTTGACAATCTCCCAATGAACCAATGTAGAAGAGTGCATAAACTGGCTGACAAGGCTCATTGAGTAAGCAATGTCAGGTCGAGTAATCGTGAGGTAAATAAGTTTTCCAACCATGCGCTGATAAAAACCAGGATTAGAGAAAGGCTCACCTTTGGCATCCAACTGAAGTTTGCTAACAAGGGGAGTGCGAGTAGGTTTACACTCAAGCATGTGTGCTTCATCAAGAAGATCAACTACATACTTTCTTTGATTTAAGAATAACCCATTGGAAGAAATGGCCATCTTAATGCCAAGAAAGTATTTCAAGACTCCCAAGTCTTTGATAGCAAATTGTTGGTGTAGAGAGAACTTAAGAACATTGATTCATTCACATTGTCCCCTGTAATTATAAGATCATCAACATATATAAGCACAACGAGCTTGCATAGGACACCACTGCGAACAAATAAGGAGAAGTCAGCATGACTTCTTTTGAACCCTGCAACTTCAAGAACTGAGCTTAGTTTGGAATACCAAGCTCGAGGGGATTGTTTGAGTCCATATATAGCCTTATGGAGCTTGCAAACTTTGTTAGGTTCACCTTCTCGTAGGTGTCCAGGAGGTAGCTTCATGTACACATATTCTTCAAGATCACCATGAAGGAAAGCATTTTTTACATCCATTTGAAACAAAGGCCACTCGTGATTGACTGCCACTGATAGCAACACCATCACTATGTTCATTTTGGCAATCGGGGCAAAAGTCTCATTGTAATCAATACCGTAGGTTTGTGTGAAACCACGGGCTACCAATCGAGCCTTGTATCTCTCAATGGTACCATTGGAATTGAATTTTGTCTTGTATATCCATCTACTCCCTACAACCTTCTTGCCTTTGGGAAGATCAACCACATTCCAAGTTTGATTTTCATCCAATGCTTTAAGCTCTTTATGCATGGCTTTTTGCCACACAGGTGTACACACGGCTTTTTGAAAACTTCTTGGCTCAAGATTGTTTGACAATTGGTTTAGAAATAATGCATGGGAGGCTGACAATTTTTGGTAAGTAATAGCTTCAGAGATAGGGTACCTTGCAAAGTACGTAACGTACTCTTGTAACCCTAACGGGGGATGTTGATCTCGGGCAGGGTTCCTTCTTGGTGCTACTACTGATTGTGGAGTTGCAGCTTGTGGTTGTGGTGTTGGAGCACTGGGTACTTCCTCACTGACCACTTCATCAATGTTGGAATTAATGATAGGGTTTGGGAGGTTTGCATGAATTTTTCCAGGAGTAGGCAGTGGAAAGGTGTCCATTAGACTCTCCCCCTGAGGATTATTCTCAGAATCCTTGTGAAAGAAAGGAGTGACTTCATCAAACCGAATATCTCTAGAGACAACAAGTTTCCCAGTGTGTGAGTTATAACATTTGTATCCCTTTTGAGAACTAGAGTACCCCATAAATGCACATTTCACAGCTATAGGTTCTAGTTTATCACGATGAGTAGCCTGGATGTGGACATAACAAGTACATCCAAAGATCCTGAGATGAGTCAAATCGACAGTTCTTCCTTTCATGACTTCAAAAGGTGACTTAGCATTCAATACACAAGTTGGAAGTCTGTTAATGATGTAGGTTGCAGTGAGAAGTGCTTGGGACCAGAATCTCTTGGGAACTTGCATCTGAAACATAATGGACCTTGTTTTCTCCAACAAATCCCTATTCTTTCGCTCAGCTACACCGTTTTGTTGTGGTGTACCAACACAACTAGTTTGATGCAAGATGCCATGATTGCTCAAGTAATTGGACATGTTATTAGATGTATACTCGGTGCCATTATCTGACCTTAAAGTATATAATTTATAGGCGAATTGATTGGTTATTAGTTTGTGAAAGTCTTTGAAAGCTTCAAAAAATCACCTTTAAACTGTAAAAGATACAACCAGGTAACCCTAGAATAATCATCAATAAAAGTGACATAATACTTGTATCCATCGAATGACTCAACATGAGAAGGTCCCCAAATATTTGAGTGAACAACTTCAAAAAACTTACTGGTTCTAGACTGAGAGGATACAAAAGGCAACCTAGTGGATTTTGACATTTGACAGATCTCCCACTCATGTGTGCTTTTACAAAAATTTGGAAATAACTTAGACATCACTAGTTCTGAGGGATGAGCGAGACGTTGGTGCCAAAGTTGGTACTCCTGGGCATGACTTAGGTTGGCAATGGGATCCTTAACAAGATTGAACTTCTTTGAGAGGTAGTATAGACCATTTAAGAAAAACCCTTCACCAATCTTCTTCTGAGTGACTCGATCCTGAAACACAACATTATGAGGACAAAATATGGCAAGACAGTCCAAAGTATGCGTGATTTTTCCTATGGACAAAAGCTGGAATGGAAATGAAGGTACGTAAAGTGCAGTGGACTCTACATCATTACCCATCAACCTAATTTTTCCTTTTCCTAGAACAGGTTCCCCTTTACCATTTGCTACAGATACATGAGTAGGATTAGATAATTTTTGAAACTCATGTAGACAAGATGTTTTATTAGTTATATGATCAGTGGCACCTGAGTCTACAATCCAAAAATCATGTGTGAGATATGCATTGAGAGCAGTGGAGAGTGCACTAATAATACCTGGGATATTGTCGTGTGTTGTGGTATCTGAACCATCAAAGAAGTCAGCGAATTTTCCAAGCATGGCAATGGAGTTTTCAATGATCATCTTTTCATTCTCAATGGTCCCGTTCTTTCTTTGGAGAAAGGTAGCAAATTCATTAATCAAGGAAATCAGATTTGAAGTGAAGTTTGCCATCTCATCAGTTGAACACTGAGTTGCATGAAGGGCTTTTGAAGCAAATCCTTTCCTATCTTTGATCATTTTCCCTTCCTTGTCAAACTTAGGTTTTAACTCAGGATGTAAGATCCAACATTTTTCCCCGTAGGGGCCCCTTAGTGTTGCAATATGTGCACTTCCAATCAGCCTTCTTCCCATTAAAAACTCTTTCACCAAAGATTTTGTGGTTGCTAGTGAAAACCCTAGCCTCAGAGCTAGACTTGGGCTCAATATGCATTACCTTTCTTTGAGTTTCTTCCCTTTGAATTGCATGACACACGCTGATGAATGATGGTAATTCTGGAGTCATTAGTAAATGACTAAGAAGATCTTCATACTCAACTCTCGAGCTTGCCAACAGTTGAAACACTTTATCTTCATCAGCCCTCTTCAAGAGCACAGCGGATTCGGTTGTGTGTGGACGGTATAGATCAAGCTCATTCCACATAGATTTCATGCTTCCAAGGTGCTGAATGAAGGATTGGTCACCTTGCTTTAAGCCAGCAAGACTCTTCTTTAGTTCAAATACACGGGCAACATTGTTGTGGCTGCCATACATTTCCTTGACATCTTCCCAGAGTATGTGTGAAATTCCTGAATAGCTGAAGAGCTTCGACAACTTGGGCTCCATCAAGTTGAGAATCCAAGACATTACGAGCTGATCATTTGAATGCCATGCATCAAAAGAAAGTGAGGTGGATTCTGGAGGCTTGATGGTTCCATTTACGTACCTTAGCTTCGATCTTCCTCCTAGGGCAAGAGAGACGGTTCGTGACCAAGGCAAATAATTGAACTTGTTCAACAATACTGAGCACAGTCGTTGGTTTGGATTGATCTCACCATGTATCATGTTGGTTGGTGTTGAGGTTGAGGAACTTGTATCCTTAGAACCGAATGGATTGTCTTTTGCCATCTTAACAAATGATGAACAGAAGGAAAAATGAAACAAAAGAAAAACAACATAGACATAACCCTATGGTTCCTGCTCTGATACCATATTGAACTTTTTAGTTTCAACTATTTTTATAATTTATCATAAGAAACCAAGTACAAGGGAGAAGCTCTTATAGAGAGCTTGAGAGTGACTTAAAGGCTAAAAAGACAAAGCCTAATAATAGGCCATATAAAGAACCAAAAAGAATAAGCTAGCTAACGTGCAGCAAATGTATAATTACAAGAAATTAAGGAACAAAGGAAAAGTGAGGAACAAAGGAAAAGTGACGGTACATCACTTCCATCACGTCAAATACATTACTCACTTCCATCACGTCCAATACATCACTTCCAATATGATCATTATTCCGAATGGAAAAATTATGAAGATAAGATCACTTGTTAAGGTTATGTAAACCTTGGAGTGTTTCCATGCGATGATCCCAACCACTTGGTCCTCTCCCTCCTTCTTTGGCTGACCCTTCGCTCTGCGCTCAACATACATCGATTAATATAACAAAATCTATTTTAACAAAGAAATTTTGAGGCTATATATGCATAACTCATTTTACATGTACCTGTGCAGCAGAAGTGGCGGCTCCAAACATAAAATCGGATGGAAAGTCTGATCGTTTAATTTTCAGTTCTTCAACAAGTTTAGGGTTGCTTAAATTTAACTGAAGGTTGAATCCACCCACTGTCACATTTTCTACAACTCCGTGAACATGATCCCCCACGGACTGATGTTCAGCTCCATTTAAATGTGCTAGTTCTGCAACAACATATCATTGCACGATGAACCACTTAAAATGACCATAAATGGAAAACCTGCGAAAATGTAGAACAAGATGAAGAAAATTAAAAGGCTTAGGGATGAATGTTTACCTAGGCCTCGACCTTCCACAGATGAACAGGCTAGCAAAGTGATGAGACAAATGGCAATGAGACCACGAGCCATCTTTGTCAACGAAGAAGATGATGATATTTGAGATGTCCACAGCCACCTTTTATATTGGCAAGCAATAGGATACCCAGAAACTAACCAGACGCAAGTTTTGGTTTGGACAGAGGATAGTTTGAAGGCTAAACATAAAGTAGCTTCAACTGTTTGAATTTGTTTTTAGATGCTCGGTTTCAGCCTGCCAAAAATACGGAAGGAACCCAAAAACAGAAAGAAGGAATACCGGCCGGGACAATTCTTTTCAGACTCTAGCAGATTTTATTGCAGTAAGGGCGGAAAACACAAACTCCATATATATTCATACTTTGATAAATATTTCACGACGGGTCCCATATTTGTAGCTAATATTGTGGTAATGTTTAAAAACCAAATAGTGTTTAGTATTGTTCTTTTACGGTCTACAAAATGTGGTCCTAATTCTTTTGGGGTAAAAACCCTTATTATTATTATATCTTAGAACTATTTAGTATTACGATTTAGTGGTATTATTTTTTTTTATAAGTGAAAACTCTTAATTATATACGAATGGTTAATCAAGAAATTGAAGTTGACGCAGCAACGGAAGGGCTTATTTATGATATATGGTCCCTTGCTAGTTCTGTTGAGTTTGTTGTAGGGTGAACAACTGTGCAGCACATGAAGTAGCAGCTTACGTCTCAAAGATTGGTGGTGACCATAAATGGAATTGTATAGTACCTGAATTTTTTTCCAATATTTTTGCAGAAGATGTAAACTTATCTATTAAAATCTATCATTTAACAAAAAAAAAATGACGAGTTCAAAACCAATTATTCCCACTCTCTTAATGTAATTATATTGTTGTATAAAAAAAAATTGTGAAAGAAGAATTAAAACTTGAATGCATTGAATTGAAAGAGCACCTACTCTCTAACCAAGGAAGCTATGCCATGTCAGCTAATTCACAAACAGTCATAATAACAACCTTATCCATCCGAGATATCTAATGATATTTAAGGGTGGATACAGTTTGTAGTGCCATCTGCGGATAGAAATATATGAAAAGTTCATTGCTCTCTGTTTTTGTAAAGGAAGTTCAATTTTTAACAATGTGTAGTATTGATTACCATTATAAATAAATAAAGAAATAAACAATGCAGGTTGTTGAAAGGCAAGTATCGAATTATGTTGAAAAATAATTAAAAATAGGTTGAATCGTCAAAATGATCTTTAAGATTTGCATAACTAATCACTTTGGTCTCTGAGATTTCAAATCGATAAAAGCAGTCCATGAGATTGTCCACCATCCATCATTTTGGTCATTCCGTTAAAAACTTCGTTAAGTGTTCCGGAGCTTTTGGCCGGAAGTTTGGGCAATTTTCAAAACTTCGTAACTCAATCGTTTCTTAACTAAATTCGACCCATAATATATCTAAATGAAGATAGGAAAGTGTAGAATAAGATTATACCTATTTTGAAGTATGATTTAGCCATAAAAAAAAGGTACCATTCTCTTTATCTCATTGAGAAGTATGATTTTCGTTTTTGAATCACTTGATTTCGTTGAGTATTGAAGAAGTTATGAACATTTAAAGTTTACTCAGTTTCCGGCGAGTTTTCAAGTTTTCACTCGGACCAATCAACCTTACTCCGGCAACCATCAGACTTCGAAATAGGTATAATCTTATTCTACACTTTCCTATCTTCATTTTGATATATTATGGGTCGAATTTGGTTAAGAAACAATTGAGTTACGAAGTTTTGAAAATTGCCGAAACTTCCGGTCAAGAGCTATGGGACACTTAACAGAGTTTTTAACGGAATAATCAAAATGATGGATGGTGGACAATCTCAGGGACCACTTTTATCGATTTGGAATCTCAGAGACCAAAGTGATGAGTTATGTAAATCTCAAGAACCATTTTGGCAATTTATCCTTAAAACTAAATATGTGTTCATTTGTTTGGAGTGATGTTAGTTCAAGTTTTCAATTCAATAACTGTTTAATCACATGTTCATTTATGATTGGGAACTATTCATTTTAGCATGAATAGTTACTCTTTTTTCAAGGGCCAAACATTATTTCCAGAATGGGTCATTTGATTGTAGTAAGTAGTCAGAAAAGTAGTCAGAAAATTAAGCTAACAATCAAAAGCTGACACATTTAGGTGTTCTAGATGGGTCATTTGACTTGAGGATAAAGCCGAGGAAACTTTGGACTCTGGAATGTTGAAAACTGAGTTCTTTGGGAGGCATGGGAGCCATTCTTTCAACTTTTAAATGCGGAGTATTGACTACCCGGAAAAGCACAATAGCTGTTAAATGCGGAGTATTGACTACCCGGAAAAGCACAATAGCCGTTGGAAGAAGAATAGCAAGTTAGGTTGAAAAACCAATTAAAAATAAATACATGTTCATTTATTTAGAGTGATGTTAGTTCAAGTTTTTAATTCAATAATTGTTTGGTCATGTGTTCATTTATGATTGAGAACTTATTCATTTTAGCAAGATTTGTTGCTCTTCTTTCAACGGCCAAACCTTATTCCTAAAAAAATGAATAAAGAGTAATGCTAGAGAGATTAAATTTGTAGATAAAATTTTGAAAACTAAAAGACATGGAAGTTGATGATTGATTTATTACTTACACGTTGATAAACATACTTATTTTTATTGGTAACACGTCATTTAGTTTGCAAATTTAATCTTCAAATTTAGTCTCTCTAACATTACAAAAAAAAAATTATGTGGCTACAAATCCCAGGTATTCAATAGGACCAGATCATTTTCCTAGGAATCCGGGAGATTCCATGATCATGACTGTTTATCGTACATCGTACGGTCAATTTTCATTTTTCATTAAGTACTATTTATATTTAATTTTAAACTTTAAAATTTTAAATAATTTATGATCACACAATATACGATAAACAATCACGATCAAGGAATCTCTAGAAAAAGGATCCGATACTTTTCCATCCGATCCTTTTCCAGTCGATAGCACCCGACATTGTAACCATTTTATCAAATCTAATACTATGGCAATGTCTTTGGATTGTAGCAAGTAGTCAGAAAAGTAAGCTAACAATCAGAAGCTAACACGTTTACGTGTGGGGTCATTTGTCATGAGGATAAAGATGAGGAAACTTTGGACTCCGGACTGGAGAAAATTTGATCAGTCAACAAAAAATGAGTTCTTTGGGAGGCATAGTAGCCATTCTTTCAAGCCTTCTGTGTGTATTTCTTGTCTTTGTTCTCATCAAGATCCTACACAAACTATGGTGGACTCCGACTCGGATACAAAAAATGATGAAAGCGCAGGGGATCAAAGGTCCTCCTTACAGACTTATCCATGGAAACACCAAAGAAATCTCCGACATGAAAAAGGAAGTCATGCGCAGGCCCAAGAATTTATCTCACGACATAGTTTCTGTAGTTGTACCTCACATACACTCTTGGTCACAGATATATGGTAACAATTAACAAGCTATATCTCACTTTTAGTTAACTGTTGTTTCAATTTGTTCCCACATACATTTTGGTCATTTTTTTGTACGAAATTGTAGGGAAGAATTATCTTCAGTGGCATGGTTCTCTTGCACAGTTGGTCATTACGGAGGAACCTGAGTTATGCAAAGTGATATTGAGTAACAAAGATAAATCTTATCCGAAAAGAGAGCCCACCACCCTTGAGAAGAAGCTATTAGGAGATGGTCTTGTGACAACACCTGAAGCTGAAAAATGGGGAAAATTGAGAAAGCTTGCTACCCATGCCTTCAATGGAGAATGTTTAAAAGTAAGTTTTTTTACAGTTACTATGGTAAAGATTACTGAAGCTAAATTTGTTGATAGCATGACAGTATTGTTTGTCTAGAGTATGTTTCCGGATATGGTAGCTAGTGCTGAGACGATGCTTGAAAGGTGGAGAAATTATGAAGAAAAAGAAATTGAGGTGTTTGAAGAGTTCAGGTTGTTCACTTCAGAAGTGATTTCGAGAACAGCATTTGGCAGCAGCTATTTAGAAGGACAGAAAATTTTTGAGATGTTGATGAAGTTAGCCTTCCTAGTTTCTAAAAACGCCCTCACAGTCAGGATTCCTGGCATCAGGTAATCTCGGTTCATTCCACAAATATTCTTGGAGTGTTACTTGTGTTCTCATGGTTGTTAGTCTTTTTGCTTAATGTTGCAGTAAAGTTTTCAAAACCAGTGATGAGATCGAAGCAGAAAAACTTGAGAAAGGTGTATATGCCTCCATAATGGATATCGCTAAGAAAAGAGAAAAGACGGCAACGAGTGGAGATGAGGACAGCTTCGGGAGTGATTTTCTTGGATTACTTTTGAAGGCTCGTCATGATGCCAATGACGACCAGAGGATTTCGGTGGATGATTTGGTTGACGAGTGCAAGACTTTTTACTTTGCTGGACAAGAAACCACCAATACTTTGCTTGGTTGGACCGTCTTTCTTCTAGCACTCCATACGAATTGGCAAGAGGAAGCAAGAAAGGAGGTCATAGAATTATTTGGGAAACAAACTCCAAATCTCGATGGCATTACCAAACTGAAAACAGTAAGAAAGTGAACCACTAATTAATCAACTGCTTATCTTAAGTGGCAAAATTAAGCTTGAATTAAGATTGGAAGTAATCTTGATTTGGTATCCATTTTTCGTGTTCATGCAGATGAGTATGATCTTCAATGAGTCTCTAAGGTTATATCCCCCTGTTGCTGGTTTTGCAAGGAAAGTTGAAAGGGAAGTTAGACTGGGAAATGTCATTGTTCCTGCTAATGTTGTATTATTTATCTCAAAACTATCATTTCACCACGATCCTCGAATCTGGGGACAGGACGCACAACTTTTCAAACCAGAGAGATTTGCTGAAGGGGTTGCTAAAGCAACTAACAATAACATAGGTGCATTTGTGCCGTTTGGAATAGGACCACGAAGTTGTGTGGGCTTAAACTTTGCAATCAATGAAGCAAAGATTGCTCTGTCAATGATTCTACAACGCTACTCCTTCACTCTATCCCCAGGTTATGTTCACTTGCCCATTCAGTATGTGACGGTTCGTCCACAACACGGAGTTCAGGTAATGCTTCACCCACTTTGAACTGCAAAGGCGAATGTGGTGCATGAATCTTGCAAAGTATCATGTAATCAACTATCATTTCATCTTTTTCAAGATATTATTCTGCTTACTTTGGCAGCACTTTTGGATAATCTGTCACAAGTTTTTGCTTTTTTCTTTTGGTTTGTTATAAAGAATCCAACAAGAAAATGCAAACGTAACCGACCGATGATTAGGAATTGTTTATGTGGAATATGGAAGGGGCCGACAAACAGCCTATATAAAACCAAGCATTAATATAGACGCCTCAATCTCAACTACAAGTCTATAAAACCTGTCCGATGTGGGACTCCAATTTTACCTCGATCAAAGCCACACCAACAAACTCCCCCTGCAGTGTTTCGAGCCATCTCCAAATTGACGTCCACGATCCAAATTTAAATAGAGCTACATGATACCAAATTTCAAATGAGCTCTCCAACTTGTGAGCCTCACCAATCCCAAACGTTGTCTGGACTTTGATACCAATTGTTGTGTGGAAGACCCGAAAGCAACGGATATGGGGTTTGGCCAAAAAACCTCAACAATGTATGTTTTGACCCACTCTTTATAGGCAGTAGCGAGCTCTTTAGTTACACCAGTATCAGCATTTATGATAAACTTTGGAGGGCACTGAGATTCGCCATTAAAGAAATCAAAGAGATCATAGCCTTTAAGCACAGACTGAAACTGATAATCCCATTTGACAAAATTATCTTCCTTCAACTTCACAGTGATCATGCCCAAAAGATTCTCAATTTTCACAGAACTAAATGCCATGATTTTACAGTACTGTAATCACAAATAATCTGAAGCAATTTTAAGAACACAACTGCGCAAACAGTTTTCAAGTATCACAACTTATCAAGAAAACACCCACTGCTCAACAATTCTTCAAGAATTACTCCAATTTTAAGAGCACACACTTCTGGCTTCGGCCTTGTTTATATGAAAACGCAAACATCAATCAAAAAGCAATACCAACAACAAAAAGCAATGGTTATCGGCCTTCATGCTTTTGACAGTGACACTTCAATCATCAAGAAACGGCTATCGGCCTTCAAAATTTCAATGTTGCATAGAAAATTCTTCATTGCGACAATTACACAAACACTTAGAGTGCATAAAGAAAGATAACACCTGATAATCTTGAAATCGAACTACCCAGAACCCCAGAAGCTTTTCAATCACCAGAAATCTTGTACCAGCACAGCGGAAGTGAACATATCAAGATTGAATGGCGAAGATACCATGATAACATTCATCCAGATATGTAGAGATGAATGTATGTATGCAGAACACACAACAGCAAAGCCTAAAGAAATAGAGAGATGAGAGCGAGAGAAAGAGTAAGAAGAATGAAAGCTTTTGTTATTTCTCAACTGATTCAATACATTCTCACACACACAGAGTACATGTTTATATAGCCTGCAGATATGCCTTATCAGCTACACTATTACTCTAACTACCTGATAACAGACTAACTCCAATAGCTGATATGGTAATCTGTGATGATGTGTCAAATGATGTGGTAGTCAACTGATGATGTGGCAATAGCCATATACCTTCAACATCCCCCTGCAATCTCAACTAGGGTTTTCCAGTTTGAGATTGTAACAATGTTTAACAAATGATGGACTGTGAAGACTTTTGGTGAGAATGTCCGTAGTTTGTTCTTCAGTTGGGATGTACACAACCTCCAAATTGCCTTGTTGTACTTGCTCCTTCACAAAATGATAATCCGTGTCAAGGTGTTTTATCCTTGAGTGAAACACCGGATTAGCACTTAGTGCAATTGCAGACATATTGTCACAATGAATAGTAGGTGGAGCCTCCAAGAACACTCCTAAATCCTTCAATACATTTCGTATCTAAGCTATATCTGCTGCAGTATGCGCTAAGGCTTTATATTTAGCTTCAGTAGAACTCCTCGACACTGAATTTTGTTTCTTTGACTGCCATGAAATTGGATTATTCCCTAAGTACACCACATAACCAGTGATTGATCTTCGAGTATTTAAATCGGCAGCCCAATCAGAATTAGAAAAGGCAGTGATCTGTGAAACCGTGTTTGCAGAGAATGTAATACCAGCATTTATGTTTCCTTGAAGATAACGAATAATTCGTTTGCAATAGCCATATACCTTCAACAGTAAAGGTCGTACCCAGTGCACAAGGCTTCCGCTTTACGCAGGGTCTGGGAGAGGTGAATGTCGGCTAGTCTTACCCCCATTTATGGAGAGGCTGCTCCCAAGTCTCGAACCCGAGACCTACCGCTCATGGACGAAGGCACTTGCCATCGCACCAAGTGCGACCTCTCATATACCTTCAACAGTATTTAGCTTAATTTTTTTAAGAACTAACTGGATTTTCAAGGATGTTTTGACCTTTTGCTACTCACCTTGTATCGTTTATATCCATCGACTGCCATAAGGAACTTTGTACTGTTTCGAAGTTTTTCTGTAATTGAAATTTGTTAGCTGATCATTAATCCAAATGGAGAATATTATGAAGATAAGATAACTTATTAAGGTTATGTAAACCTGGGAGTGTTTCCATGCGATGATCCCAACCACTTGGTCCTCTCCCTCCTTCTTTAGCTGACCCTTCGGTCTGCGCTCAACATACAACGATTAACATAAGCAAATCTATTATAACAAAGAAATTTTGACGCTATATATGCATAAATCATTTTAACATGTACCTGTCCGGTAGCAGTGCCGGCTCCAAACAGAAAATCGGATGGGAAGTCTGATCGTTTAATATTCAGTTCTTCAACAAGTTTAGGGTTGCTTAAATTTAACTGAAAGTTGAATCCGCCCACTGTCACATTTGCTACAACTCCGTGAAAATGATCCACCACGGACTGATGCTCAGTTCCATTCAAATGTGCTATTTCTGCAACAACATATCAATGCACCATGAACCACTTAAAATGACCATAAATCGAAAATTTGCAAAAATGGAGAACAAGATGATGAAGAAAATGAGAAGGGTTAGGGATGAATGTTTACCTAGGCATCGACCGTCCACAGCCAAAAAGGCTACCAAAGTGATGAGACAAATGGAAATGAGTCCATGAGCCATCTTTGTCAACGAAGAAGATGATGATATTTGAGATGTTCATTGCCACCTTTTATATTGGCAAGCAATAGAAAGCTCAAAAACTAACCAGAAGCAAGTTTTGGGTTGAACAGATGATAGTTTGAAGGCTAAACATAAAGTAGCTTCAACAGTTTGAATTTGTTATAAGATGCTCTGTTTCAGGCAGCCAAAAATACGGAAGGAACCCAAAAACAGAAAGCAGGACTGCCGGCCGGGAAAATTCTTTTCAACAAAATATGTTCTAGAAGATTATATTGATGTGCGTTTCTCATCGTGGGAGCAGTGGAGCCCGGATTTTAGTAAAGGGCACAAACCCCATATATTTATACTTTGATTTATAAATATTTCACGATGGGTCTCATATTTTGTAGCTAATATTGTGGTAATGTTTAAAAGCCAAAATGTTTAGTATGTTCTTTCACACGTGGTCCACAAAATAATTCTTAGTATTTGTCTTTGTTAAAGGGTAATACTAGGGATATTAAATTTGTAGATAAAATTTTAGGGAAATTTTATTTAAACCCATGTAATCTCTTTCTACACCTAACTTAAATTTTAAATGTTAATTTGTCTATTTTACCCTATTGCATAATTACTATTAAGTACAAAATGAAATTAATAATAAAACTCAAATTTATCAATAAACCCAAACACTATAATTAAACCCTACGATCACTTTTTGTTTATCCTACGTTCATTCCGACTAAAACCCTGACAGCTCTCATATAGAAAAATAAGTTTTTTTATTGATGGATGGTGATTTTGAAGTTTTGAATCCTCCAACCAAGGTATGACTCAATTTATGAATTTTTTGTTCGTTTGATTTCAATTTTTTAGAGTTTAGAAGATGAGTATTTTGGTTTTAATTTTTTTTCAATCAATCCCGCATAGTTTGTTTATCTTTCTGCAATAGCAAATTGCTGCAATCACTCAACAAAAAACAAGAAAGAAAGTATTTCAATTAATATTAGAAGCATGTTGAAATCGATTGATCAAAGGAGGAGTCCCTGCGTAGCTCCTGCTCCAATTCAATGCTTCTTCCCGATTCACGTGCACCGATCTGTCTCTACCACTACCACCACCTTCTCTCTTGTCATTTCCATATTTTGCACCGATTTTCTTTTTTCTGAAGCTACCTGCAACTATGTGAAACCCCCCAATCATTAAAAAAAAAAAAACAACTTCGATAAGACACAACCTAATCACCTCAAAACCTACCTAATTTATTAATTAACCAACAATCATCATGAATAAATTTTAAGTTCATCAATTTATTCAAACTTCCAATCTCCTTTCATATATGGCCTTTTATCGAATTAAAAAATAAAAGGGGAGGGGGGGGACTTGAAGAGAAAAACAAAACCAGAACAATGCACCCGTTGATTGATAATGCAAAGGGAGAGATGGTGATACATGGTTTTTGTGTCAGTCTTGTAGTCAGACATGGTTGAATTCACACCCCAATTTTTAGTATCCATTTCCAAATCAAATGGGTGTAAAGAAAAATCTACATATTGAATTGGGTTTATGGGGGGTATAATAGGTAATAAATTTTGGTTTAAAGAGATATTAATAGTTTAGTTAAAATCAAATGGGTGCAAAGAGTAAGTTGGGTGTAGAAATATTTTACATGGGTTTAAATAAAATTTTCCTAAAATTTTATCTACAAATTTAGTCTTTCTAGCATTATCCTTTGTTAAAACCTTAAACGTTTGTAATAGAAACCTTAATTATTAGGGTAAATTAAAAAATACCCCCTTAGATTTGAGATCTATTACAATCACATACAACATCTTTAAAACGTTTCACTTCCATACCTCACCTACTATTTTATTTCAATATAATACATCCGTTACATTTTTCATCTATTGGTCCATTAAGAGTTGACATGGCCGCCACATTTGTGCCACGTGGCAATTTTTTTTTTTAATTTTATAAAATTTATGCATTTAAAAAATAATAATTTAATCATAATATTAAATATTAAAACAATATATTATAAAAATAAAAAAATAAACCCAAAAACTAAAACAGTTGTCTTCCCCATCCCAGCCGCATTCACCCAAACCCATGTCTTCCCTATCCCCAGAACTTCCTTTCTCTTCATGCTCTTCCATCACCACTTGGTCAGTCATCGTCTTCATCTCCCAATTGAAGTCAATTTTCATCTTCCACCCAAATTGCAACAAATCTCAGCAAAAAAGTTTGAGAAATTTGGGAATTTTCAAAAATAGAATTCAAATCGAGAAAGATTAACATTAACGTACATCGTAGGCTTCCGAGATTTGCTTGAATTTGGCCTCAGCGACCTTCTTGTTGTTAAGGTTTTTATCTGGGTGTCACTTCATGGCAAGCTTCCGAGGTTAGAGTGAGAGAAGGAGGTCGCCGGGATTAGGTGGGATGGCAGCAATGGTGTGTAGGGGATGGGCAATAGGTTCCATTTTTGCCTTTTTTTTCTTCTGGGTTATCTATCTCAGATCGTGTGGGACGACGACAATGGTGTGTAGGGGATGTGGCTGCCACATTTTCCCATCTCTAGCTATTGGTTGTTTTGGGTAGGGTGGGGTGGGGTGGTTTAGGGGGTTTAGGGGTTGGGTTGCAGGTGAAGGGAAGGAGGAGGTTGAAAAGGGTTGGGTTACAGGTGAGAGGAAGGAGGAGGTTGAAGGGAGGGGAGGTGAAGAGAGTGAAGGGGGGTTGCGGGGAAGGGGAAGGGATGGGTTTTTGGGTTTGTTTGTCTTTTTTTTTATAAATTAATTATTTTTAAATGTATAAAAAAATTTCATGTGGCATAAATTTGGTAGTTACATCAACACAAATGTGTATTTCATATTTGTCACATCATCACTTAATAGTTTACTTAACGGATTTTCTAACGGATGTATTATATTGAAATAAAATAGTAGGTGAGGTATGAAAGTGAAATATTTTAAAGATGTTGTATGAGGTTGTAATAGACCTCAAACCTGATGGGGTATTATGTAATTTACCCTAATTATTATTATATCTTAAAAAGTTTAATACTACGTTTTAGTGATATTTTTTTTTTTTTTTGTAACATAAGAGAATAGATCACCCCAAAACTAACTCAATAAATTATTGCAAACAGTTCGAGTCTTAGATACTCCAATCAATCATCAAATAAATGAGTTCCAAACTTAGTAGTGTTCTTCTTTACCTGTAAGTGAGATGTCTTAGATTTCAATCAATCATCAAATAAATTAGTTCCAAACTTAGTATCTTATATTATTGTATAAAAAAAAAGTTGTGAAAAGGAGAATTCGAAATGACATGCATATGAAGGGCACATCCGCTTGAGCCAATTAACTATTCCATGTCAGCTCAACGCCTCTAAAATTCACAAACGTTCATAATCACAACCTTATCCATACAATATATCTAATCATATATAAGGGTGGATACAGTTTGTTGTGCCAGGTGCGGATTGAAAGATATGGGAAGTTCATTCATCTGTTCAAATTTTAACAATGCCGGAGTACCCGAAAAATTAATTACTAGGTTTAAACTTTAATTTAGCGACTACATAAATGATAAATCATATTCCTAATTGCAAATTGATTTTATGAAGTTCATTATGCTATTAGAACAAGTTGTCCCGTGTGTGAAGCTTGACGGCCACACGTGGTACTAGACTTAAAAATTCACCACACGTACATGTTGAAAGTATGAATTCTACATCGGGGAAAGAAGGGATGTTACATGTGCTTATAAATAATTAGATTACTTTCCATATTCTCAATTGGTTTTTTGGTGGAATCTCAACTTCTACATGATAAGTTGTCCTCTGTATTGCCATTTGAAATTGCAACTGAATCAATCAAATTGTAATGTTGTAAAGATAATTTATGAAATTGAAATTGCACTCAAACTTTAGAGTGTAAAATGTAATTTACCCACTTTAATACTTTGTCAATATCTTTGAATTAGGGAAACGATTATTTCCGAAATCCTTCTATCGGATCCTCCACATCCCTCACGACTGCCGGCTAGCCTGACTCGAACAAGACTGCGAAGCCATCGATTGCGACACCATAGTCACCCATTGACCCCACCCTCCCTCTGCTACTAAAACAGATTAACCCTTTCTCCAACGGAAGCAAAGGAATCGTTGCAATCTCAACCAGATTTTCTATCGGGATCACTTGCAGTCTCAACCCTAAAATCTACATCGGAATGCCGATAATAAATATCCTCTTCTTGTGCAAAGGAAATATACTATAATATGCTCTATGAAGATGATGTAAAATCGAAAAGAATTTAATTCGTTTTTTTCTTTCCCTACATCTCAATTAGGATTTTTAATTGTAAAATCGAAACTATATAATTCTATGGGGAATGCCCGGCACATTTCTCATTGGGCCTCTCCTAATTTCTTTCTTTTATCTTAACAAGTATCATTTGTCTCTAATATTATTCAACACCGTAGAAACCAGAGTTTATTAAATTCATTTTCAAAAATATCATTTCACTCACACACCTCTAGTAATGGCATGTTTATCAACACCATAGAAACCAGAGTTTATGAAATTCATTTTTACCAAGTAGAATGATACGTTTATCAACACTTAAGTAATAAATCAATTATCAATTTTTATGTCTTTTAATTTCTAAAATTTTAACTACAATTTTAACCTCATTAGCATTATTCATAAATTAAAGGCCCAGCAATGACTGAACAAAGGACACTCAGAACATTTCAAACCAAACAGCTTTTCATTGCTTCCAGCTCTTCCCTTTTCAACGTGGTACTTAGGATCTTTAAAACCTTAAAATATGTCATCTTCGTTCCTTGCGATTGCGGGTGTTGTTTGGAGGTGAGCTTCGACACAACAAGGCCATGGCTTGCTGCTAAATACGAAGTATTTGTTGCGAGTTATATATTAGTTAAAGTGTAAATAGTAATTTATTGTCCCACATTGGTGAAATACATATGTAATACTATTTGTAACTCCTTTATATACTCTACTTTAGAGATTAATGAATATATAAGAAATTCTCAAATATTGTAATATATATTACCATGTTTAGTTTAATATTGGTATTTACCATGTTTAGTTCGATATGGTATCAGAGCAGTTCGCTCTTGGTGACCTGTGTGTTGTAATTTTGTACCCACATTTTTCGTGATTTCCTTCGCGCTACAGTATAGTGCGTGAACAGTGGTCCTCTACAGTGCCGTGAATAGTGCTCTACTGCAGTATTCTGGTAAATTATTTTCATTCCGCTGCGTATCTTTTGTGCCTTTATTATTCGTGATTTTGTTCAATGGCTCAATATAATCATAGTGTTGTTATGCATCTTTGTGGAACAAATAAATGGATAATTGATACTGGGACCATTGATCATGTGACTAGTGACCCTAGAGTGTTTGATGAGTTATGTGACTATGTTCGTGATCCATATATTACTAGTGCAAATGGAGCATATTCCCTTGTGAAGGGTCAAGGCACTATCTTTCTGACTTCCAACTTTATCATTGGTCCGTGCTTTACTTGTCCCTGATGTGAAGTGCAATCTTTTGTCGGTAGGAAAACTTCTTGATATCTTATATCGTTCTGCTCACTTCTACCCTACGTATTGTTATTATCAAGATATTCAAACTCAAAAGATAATTGGTCATGGTAAAAGAATAAGGGGTTTGTACATCTTGACTATAGAGGATACTGTTATTTCTAGTTTAAATAATCATCAAGTTTTAAGTGCTAAAGTGGATGACAGACATCAAATTTGGTTGTGGCATCGACGATTGGGACATCCATCATTCAGTTATATGAAACATCTATTTCCTTCTTTATTTCATACTTGTAGTGATTCGGAGTTCAAGTGTGAAACATGTGTCATGGCTAAGAGTCATCGTGCTTCCTTTCCCGTAAGTGATTCTAAAGCTACTTTGCCATTTGATTTGATACATTCTGATGTGTGGGGTCCGACGAAAGTTACTTGTAATAGATTCCGTTGGTTTGTTACTTTTATTGATCATTGTACTCGGTTAACTTGGGTGTTCTTGATGAAGAATAAGAGTGATGTTCCGTTACTTCTTCAAGAATTTTGTACAATGGTGTCTACTCAGTCTCATACCAAAGTTAAGGTCTTCAGGTTTGATAACGGAGGAGAATATGTGAATCACACTTTGACATGTTTTTTTCGTGATCATGATATTATTCACCAGACGACTACTCCGTTTATACCCCAACAAAATGGTGTGTCCGAACGGAAGAATCGTCAAATAATGGAGGTTGCTCGCTCCTTGATGTTAGATAAATGTGTTCCTAATCATTTGTGGGGTCATGCTGTTTTGGCTGCTGTGTATTTGATCAATCGTGTTCCAAGTAAGGTTCTTGATTTTCAGACATTGTTTGATGTGCTACAAAAACATGTTTCTTTTGTTTCTGTATCAAAGCTTCATCTGAAAATGTTTGGGTGTATTACGTATGTGCAAGTCTACTCTTATCAGCGGAGTAAACTTGATGCATGTGCTCTCCGGTGTGTCTTTATTGGGTATGCTACCAATAAAAAAGGCTATAAGTGTTATCATCCTCCGACTCAAAAAACTTATATTACCATGAATGTCACCTTCCATGAGGAAGTTTCGTATTTTGTGAAGCCCTCTTCCGACTCTCCACTTCAGGGGGAGAGGGGGAGTGAAATGCAGATTCGAAGAGATGGTATGGATGATGTGTTACAAGCAGAGTTGGGAACATAACCTATTATGTTGCGTGATACTGATCAGTCGAATACAGATAGTGATGGGTCACCTGTTATTCCCGAAACTATTTCTACTGACGATAGATCAGATGTGCCCAGCGAGTTGCCTGTTAGTATGTCTAACGAATTACCTTATGATGATCGGTTGCCTGTTGTTGATATGTCTAACGAGTTGCCAGATGATGGTTCGTCCAGTGATGATTTTTCTAACAGTTTGGTACAAGATAGTGGCATACATGAGGTAAATTCTGACGACTCTTATACTTATCAGTTGCCTCCACGAGCTAATCGTGGAAAACCTAAAGTACAATATGAGCCTGATATGCATGCCAAAGCTAAATATCCTCTCAACAATTATGTGGCTACTCATCGTTTATCCAAACCATATGCATCTTACATATGTCAGCCATCTAGTGTATCAATTCCAACAAAATTGCAAGATGCTTTGTCTGACCTTAAGTGGGTTAATACCATGCAAGTTGAGATGGAAGCTTTGGAAAAGAATTCTACTTGGGATTTGGTTCCTTTACCAAACGGGAAGAAAGCCGTTGGATGTCGATGGGTGTTTACTATTAAGCACAAAGCAGATGATTCTATTGACCGGTATAAATCCAAATTAGTTGCTAAGGGTTATACTCAAACTTATGGGGTGGACTATCAGGAGACCTTTGCTCCTATTGCCAAACTTAATATTGTGCGTGTTTTTTTGTCCTTAGCAGCAAACCAGGATTGGCCTCTGTTGCAGTTTGATGTTAAGAATGCTTTCCTTCATGGTGATCTTAAAGAGGAAGTGTATATGGATCTCCCACCTGGTATTGGAACATCTCTTGGAAAAGGTGTTGGATGCAGGTTACGAAATGCCTTGTATGGTTTGAAACAATCTCCTAGAGCGTGGTTTGGGAGGTTTACAAGTTCAATGAAGAAGTTTGGGTATATCCAGAGTCATTCAGATCATACTTTGTTTCTAAAGCGATAAAAT